GGCGCCCAGAGAGCTTGCATCGTATGCTCGTATCTTTGCCCTGTGTCCTCAAACAGTGTCATGCATTCACCTTTAGAAATTTTCTAAACTAACCACTCTCATCCTAGATAATTGCGTTTTACAACATTTTCAAGGTTTTTTTTTGTATGTTTTTTTTGTTTTTTGTTTTTTAAGACATATTCTTTCAGCGCCTGGGTAGCTCAGTTGGTTTAAGCCTCCGACTCTTGATCTTCACTCAGGTCGTGATCTCATGGTTGTGACACTGAGCCCCGCGTCGGGCTCTGTGCTGACAGCATGGAACCTGATTAAGATTCTCTCTTTCCCTCCCTCTTACCTTCCCTGGCGAGCACACGTGCACGCCCTCTCTCAAAAAAGCTAAATAAACAAAATAAAAAGACATATTCATTGCAAAAAATTAAGACGATTTGTAAAGGTATAAAGGACAAGGTAATGATCACCTGAAATCCAAGCCCCCAAAGAAGACCACTATTAACATTTTGGTGAATATGCTTCCAAATATTTCTGGTTCAAATGGATATGTGCACAACATTACAGAAATGAAATCAGGCGGGATGTTGATCGCCTGCCTTTTCACTCAACGGTCTGTTACGAACATCTTGAGACAGTTTTCCAAATCTGTAAAACTCCTTGATCTCCTCTGGCTTGGAGTTGCTTTGGGGTTAGCAGATGAGAGAAAGGGAAGAGAGGAGAGAGAGAGCTAAACATGGCCAAGGGCTGGGTATGTGCTGCGTCTGATTTCCCCATCCCTACCATCCCGGGCAGTGACGGGCCTGTCACGCATTCCACGGATGGGGAAATTAAGGTCATAGCAACGGAAGCAGTGGAGTTGGAATTCAGTAAGGTCTCCCCCTTAGTCAACTGCATTTACTCCACCCACCTACCCCTCTCCATCTCCCACGGGGCTCCGCAGTTCTCCACAGGTGCAAAAGGTGAAAGGCACTTGAAGACCCAGAAGATGGGAGGCCGTCATCTCACCACAACCTTGGTGAAGCCAACAGGGGTGAGAATATTCGAAACTTGCCTCAATGCGGTAAGCGTCTGTTTTCCCCTTTCCCACCTCAGGCGGAGGGGCAGCAGGCCTTCGGAGGGGCATTAATCTGGAAACATCTCAGAAGGGAGGGTGAAGAGCCATGCCTTGACTAGATGGGAGCAGCCAGATCTGGAGAAAGGGTTCTAACTTCTCCCAGGCTTGCAAGGGGTGGGATGGTCGAGGAACATGGGGAGGCAGAGATTGGGTGGCTAGTGGATGCCAGGTCTGTGGTAAGGGAGGAGGAGGGCTCTGAGGTCCTCTCTGAGTTGCCGGGAGGGCCCAGAAGACAGATGGTGAGGGACTGGGATCAGCTGTAGCTTCATGTAGCCAGAGGAGCAGTGGTAAAGAGGGATACCACCAGGGCCCAAGGACACAGTCTCCCTTCCTACCCCTGCCATTGGGTAGTGCCATATAAGCCCACGTTTCTTGTAGGCTCCCAGGATAGGGGAAGGGAGCACCCTAATTTCTTTGGCTGCTAAATTTCATTTTGGAGAAATAGGGGAATGTGACATTCCCTGAATTCGATACGGTGGCCTGAAATGCAGGGCTAATGATATGGCTCTGTGACCTGTCCAGTCACCCAGGACCTCATACTTAAAAGAGCCCCCCGCACTTCAGTGCCCTGCTGTCACCATCTTGAAACTCTTAATACGTTTTGGACGAGGAGCCCCAGTTTCATTTTGCACTCACATGCCGATTGTATAGCTGGTCCTGTGAAAATGCATGGCTGCTGCATCCCCACATGGCAGACGCTTCAAAAGTCTTGCATCTTTAGGAGCACTCCTCGCCGAGGGCTGGGGAACTTATTGAGAATGCTCACCACCAGGCAAACCCACCGTACGTCCACAGGCATCATGACCCCCTCATGCCTATTCATGCTGTTGTGTTTCTATAATGCTCATTCACCAAAGGAGTTGGTTACGTTCGTCTCTCCCGCGAAAGTAGGGCTAAATATAAACTTAATATGTATTATTATGACGCTATACATGAAAGCCATGGTGGTGCATAGAAGGGGTAGCCAAGATGAAAGCAAAGCTGCTGGGGGTGTGGGGGGGGGCGTTTTGTCAGCGGGTTCCAGTGGAGCAGGCTCGAAAGACACATGTGTGTGTCAAGAGTCCCAGCCTGGTCCCCGGAACGAGCGCTTGCCTAGTGCTGACAGTTTGGAGTATTTCTCTCTGCACAGCCCCCTCTTGTTTTTCGGCCTGAAATTTGCACAGATCTTCAGAAGCTGTACATCAATCTGGACTCTTTGTATATATTTGGAGCTGAATAATGTGCTTTTGAAGCCATCAGATCCTGACGTTTATCATGTCTTCCAGTTGGCCCCCAGGTTCTTGGGACTTAAATGGCTGCTTTATGGAGTGAGGACACTTTTTTCCAAGGTTCTGAAATTTGCACAGCTCTAGCCTGAGGTTTCCAGAAGCACCCGGCCAGTACCTGGGTGTTTGTGGATGCTGGGAGGAAATGTCCCCCAGAGATGAGGGATATGACCAGGGGCTAGGAGACTGGGGTGCAGCGCCCCTCTGACACAGACTCCTCCATGCCCTTACTCACTCTCTCTCATTGCAGTCTGCTTTCTCTATAATTAGCACAGGACAGCTGCCTCCGTTTCCTTACAGGTAGCTTTAATCACCCACCACGGGGGTATCAGGCACAGACCGAAGTGCTAAGGGGAAGGAGATGTTGTCAGGGGCTTCATGCCAGGTTTTATTACGGGCTTGCGGTGTTCTGGGCATTGCTCTAAGCCTCTCTCATGGGTGATTCTATTTAACTCTCAAAACTACTCAGTGAACCAGGCACTCTTATCATCTCCTTTTAGCAGCCAAGAAAAATGAGACATTGAGCGGCCAAAGAAACTAAGGCAAGCTAGCAAGTGTTAGAGCCGGAACTCAAAGCCTGGCTGAGCCTGCCAGTGGGATCCTATGCATGCTCACCCAGCAGGCTGGTAGAGAGAGGAGACTAATTACAACAAGGACCCCAGAGCAAAGGTGCGAGCTGACACCCCTGAGAAATGTGGGGTGTTTGAGCATGAGAGAGGCCAGGAGGCAGCAGCTTCATGGGGGAGATGGTGCTACCAAGCAGTGAAGAAGCAGGGCACCCTTCGCTTACCAGACAGTGACCGGATACGGGGGTGGGGCGCCCACCCCCATGGTGCCCAAGCCCCCCATGGTGCCCAAGCCGAGCCAGTCACATAGGTGAGCAGTTGGTGAAGAGGGGCCGTTCTGAGTACTACCCGGTACAGGTAACTCAGATTGTCTTCGGGTGTGGTGTCCCCAAAGACACTTGGGCAGCCTCTACAGGAGAAGGTCCTGTCACCTGGAAGAAAGGCGAGGTTCAGTGAAAGACCTCGCCCACCGGAAGCTTGAGGGACGCCCAGAGGAAAGCTTGCTCTGCTTTGTGCCCTAATGAAGGAGCATGAGGCAGGCGGGTGGGTCTACTCCAGGCACTGGGAACAGCCGTCAGAGCTCAGCAGAGGAGCGGTCACATGGAATGCAAGAGTGGGAGTATTTGGGTGAATCTCAGGAAAATGCCACGGACGTAGGTCAAAAACCGGAGAATATTGGCAATTTCATTTGTTAATTCTAATCCAACCCAGCCAGCAGCTGACTGTCAGCTATGGCTGGGAGAGGATAGGTGCTCACAGTGGACAAGTTAGTGCCGGGAGCAGCCAGCACGGGGAGGACAGACACGCTGGGTCACAGAAGAGGACAGATGGGACACATGTGTGAGGCATCCAAGAGCACCCTGGAACCTGGAGACAGAAACTTGATGTGGCTGCCGAATTTCCATCAGCAGAAGCTGGAGGTGGGGGCCAATGTCCTGTGAATATCATTCGAACCCTGTTCTGAGCTGGTGTGGCCCAGGAATGAGGGTCACAGGCATACAGGCAGAGGTGGCCAGGCTGGCAGTGTCAGCTAAGCATCACTGCCACCCATGGTCTGGGTGATCAAGGGAGGCTTCTTGGAGGAGGTGAGCCCTGAGCTAATCCTTCAAGGGTGGGTGGGAATTAAAAACACGTGTGGAGAAGAGGAGACGGTGAAAAGTGGAGAGATCTAAACTTCAAAAGATATTTTAAAATAGGGAAAGTCACAAAATAGCATGGATACTGTGATTCCTTTTTTTGTTAAAAAAGTGAGGGAATATATACATATATGCATATAGACACTCGTAAATATTCAACAAATGATATATGGAAGAGTATTTATTAAAATAATAACTATGCTACCATTATTGGGTGGTTTTTACTTCTTTTTGTTTACCGGTATTTTCAAATTGTTCTATGATAAGCATGTAGTACTCACGTAACATATAGAATATAGGCTGCCTTAAGTCCTATCAGTATGCAAATGCCTCATGAAGGAAGCTCCACCTGACTGTAAGTTGCAATGCACTTACAGGCATGTACTCTGTAGGTTTGATTCTATCTCCACAACTTACTAGCTAGTGAAATGGAATAATGATAGTACCTACCTCCTAGGCTCTTCTTTTTTTTTTTTTTTTTTAAATATAATGTATTGTCAAGTTGGCTAACATACAGTGTATACAGAGTGCTCTTGGTTTTGGGTGTAGATGCCCGTGATTCATCGCGGCAATACCCGCTGCTCATCCCAACAAGTGCCCTCCTCAATGCCCAGCCCCTATCTTCCCCCCTGCCCCGCACCCCCCGTCCTAGGCTCTGTTTGAACTCAGTAAATGTTATCATTGGCTTTTCTCTCTCTCTCCTGAATACCGCTTTCAACCATGCATGTGAAGGTGGTATAGACCGGAGGTGTAAGCCTAAGATTCTGCATTTCTTTTTTTTTTTTAATTTTTTTTAACATTTTTATTTATTTTTGAGACAGAGAGAGACAGAGCATGAATGGGGGAGGGGCAGAGAGAGATGGAGACACAGAATCGGAAGCAGGCTCCAGGCTCTGAGCCATCAGCCCAGAGCCCGACGCGAGGCTCGAACTCACGGACCGTGAGATCGTGACCTGAGCTGAAGTCGGACGCTCAACCGACTGAGCCACCCAGGTGCCCCAAGATTCTGCATTTCTAACAACCTCTAGGATGTCACATTGCTGACTCACGGACCACACTTCGAGGCATGAAGGTAAGGATGTGTTAATGTCTTTCTACAATGTCCAGGAACAAAATGCCCTTACGTGTGTTCAGATACTACCTGTCATATGGATTCTCTTTTCTCTTGGGCAGTGTTATGCTTTCTGTCCATCCATAAACATAAACAACTACCTCTGTGTGTAAGACTCTGTGCTCAGTTCTGAGAAATCATGGTATCTGTTATAGGACAGGGCCGCTGCCCTTAAAGAGCTTATATTTAACACCTAAACATCAAAACGTAGGCAGCGATGAAAAGAACCTATCCTGGGCGCTAAGTGAGGGCTACAAACAACGAATGAGAGCAAGGTTCCAAGGTCTATTTTAAATTCTGTAAAGAACTAAAGTCCAAATACTTACTTTGAAACGTTGAGGATTAACACATGTTCCAGATGCAGGATTGCGTGAATACGTCTTAACAGTTAATGTGAGTCGTGTCTCTCTATATAAAAATGTGCTCCCATAGGATATGTGAGGTTGTGGTGTATTATTTGCATAGTTGCAAATCCTCCCCATTCCTTGTTGAATGGAAGAACCAGGGGTTGAGATATGGAAGTCATCTGGAACATAAATGCATAGGCTTGCGGCCACACCACACTATTGTATCCATTGTTTAAGGAACATGTTTGTCTCATTTGGCTGCATTTTGTGGGGCTTTCAGTTCCTGCTGTATTCCATTTGAAGATTATTACTTACTATGGAAACAGTGATGTCAAGTTGAATGTGGGTGGGGCTCAGGCCGTGAATAAACACAAAATAGTTCATCGCACAGGGTGCAAGTTATTCTTAGGTTTAGGAGTAGCCAGTTTGTGCATGCACCCCTCCCAAGCCCCGTGTTGGCATGCAGCAGGCTGGCAGGCCGTGGGGTGGCGCGCTTGGGAGAAAGTGTCCATTTTAAATGGCACAAGTGTCTTGGAGTAAATATGTCGCCTCTGCTGAAACAGGACACAGTCCACCTACAGGAGCAATGGGAAAGAAGAGAGGTGACTTAATGGGGCACATCGAGGTACGTGATCCAATGTGGGAAGCGTTTCTTGAGTAATGATTGCCCTAGGAAGCAAGAACTCTATTTTTGACATAAGGAAGTTGTATCGGGGGCGGGGGGGACACTTTGGAGTGGGAACTCCTGGAAAACGGGGCTCTCTGGGAGTACTTGGAGTTAAGCAGGACCGAGGTTGGCAGAAACTGCTGTGGAAAGCCATGGGGCCAGAGAGCCATCAGCCTAGCTCATGGAGACGAGAGGTGCGAATAAGACTGATGGAAAATATCAGCTGCTTTTATCAGGTGCTAGTTATGTTCCAGACATTATATCCTTTGGTTCTGTCCATAAACCATATGTATGAATATGGTGGTTTCCATCTCATAGATGTGGAAACTGAGAGAGAGAGAGGGTCACGGGTCAGAACAGAAGGATGGAATGAGATGAGTCCATTCTGACTCCAGAACGTACTTTTTTTTTTTTTTTTTTTTCAACGTTTATTTATTTTTGGGACAGAGAGAGACAGAGCATGAACGGGGGAGGGGCAGAGAGAGGGGGAGACACAGAACCGGAAACAGGCTCCAGGCTCCGAGCCATCAGCCCAGAGCCCGACGCGGGGCTTGAACTCACGGACCGCAAGATCGTGACCTGGCTGAAGTCGGACGCTTAACCGACTGCGCCACCCAGGCGCCCCCAGAACGTACTTTTTAAAAACACCATTCCAGATCCTTAAAGAAAAAGACCAAACCAGGGGCGCCTGGGTGGCTCAGTCAGTTGAGCATCCGACCTCGGCTCGGGTCATGATCTCACAGTTTGTGAGTTCGAGCCCCGCGTCGGGCTCTGTGCCGACAGCTCAGAGCCTGGAGCCTGCTTCAGATTCTGTGTCTCCCTCTCCCTCTGCCCCTCCCCTGCTCATGCTGACCCTTTCTGTCTTTCAATGATAAATAAATGTTAAAAAAAGGAAAAAGACCACACCACAACCTTAGAGTTTACTGTCTTCTGCTGGAAGTGTTTTGTTATCAGTGGATCCATGAAACACACACCACGGCCTGGTGACAGAGCACCTTCAGATCAGGGGTAGGGTAGGGTAGCTGGAGGGTGACCGGTTCCCTCTGCTGACTTTCCCTGGTGAAGGCAATGAAATCTTAGACCCGAAGCCTGGGCAGAAATACCATTACCTTCATTTACAAAGCTCCTACAGGGGCTCTGGGCACATGATAAGCACTGAGCTGGGCCTCACGGCCACACTAAGAGGCACAGACTATTCCACTCACCAGATACAGGGGGCAGAGGTATGACAATTTTCTCAGACATTCCCAAAGTTACTCGGCCAGTAAGGGGCCAAATCCTGTGACTCCAGGAGTCTGCCCTTGGCTGCTCTGCTCTACTGCGTGTGGTCCAGAGACCTGGTGACTGCAGGTGAGTGCAAGGGCCCCCTGAGGTCCTGGATTCCCTGCTGGCTCACCAGGACAGTGTAGCAGGCCCCTACGACTCACTGCCTTTGACAAGGCTGAGGGGAGGCTCTCAGCCAGATTTATAGCTATTTAGCACTCCCTTCTGCTGGTCATTGTCTCCCTCTCAGCACCCAGAACTTTCTTCTCCTAGCATGGTTTGCCCCTGCATTATTCACCTATGCCCATGTTCTACTAAGGACCACTGACTGTTTCCCATGTGCAAAACATGGGGCCTTTTGGTGGCGGGGAGGGGTCAGCGGGGCCACCTGATTTGAGGCCCCAGCTCGAGGGAGAAGTCTGGCGAGGATGAGGCTTCATCACAAGCGCCGATCTCCCTTGCAAAGTCCATCTTCTAAATCTTTCCGTAGGAATCATAAACTCGAAGAAGAAAACAAGAAGGGAAAAAAATTCTCAGCAGACAACATAAGTGAAAAGCCTCTGTGTAGAGGCTGTCACACCCCTGCCCAGGGCTGTGATGTGAGTCTGTGCAAACTGTCCCCAGTATAGCTGCAGGGGACACCATTCGCATCAAAGTCTACGTGAGTCAGACCATTGGTTCTTAAACGTGGTGGCACATTGGAGTCACCTGGGAGGCTTTAAACATTATTGGCATCTTGGTCCCTCCTCTAGTGTCTGATTTTTAGTTGGTCTGAGATGCAGCCTGGGCTTTGGAATTTTTCAAACTGTTCAGGTGGCTCTAATATGCAGCCACGTTTGAGAACCACTGACTTAGACTATGCTGTGAATGGCGTCCACCGGGGGGTGTGCGGTATACAATCGGCTAGCCCTTCAAATCGGCCCTGCCCACACACATATGCCATCTTCAATGACCTTAACTTGCTAGTAGGGGAGATCACAGACGAAATACATACTTTTCTGCCTTTTGAGTCCCAGTTTCCCTTGGGTTGTGATTGAGGCTGAGGAGAGCATAAGTACCGACCTCTGAGTCTTTGAAGGCTCTCTTATACTTCTTGCATCCTTCTGAGGGATGAGGGAGAGGCAGGGGTCTAATCCTGCTGAAAACAGGGAGTTTGTCAAGCCCAGTTTTGGAGGCTGCACAACTCTGGTGCTCTGCCCAGGGCAAGCATGCTGTTTTGATCGCCTGGCTGAGTGATTTAGGCCCTCGGAAGAATCTGGCTTATTTCCCCCGGTGCCTAGGTTATAAATCAGCCACCGTTAGCAGCTGCATTTTATTCTCTGGGGCCACAAGGAAACTGTAGTCATTTTTACTGAATTAGCAACTTAATTGCACTAAATATAGCTCTAATGCCCCAAAGAAGTTATGGCAGCTCCCAAAGGTGTCTGGCTTCCTACACTCTCCCCTCTCCCTCCCCACCACAAACTCAGGGAGCAAGTTAAACTCCGAAGAACTCAAGTCCTTAAATCCTAGCTTCTGGAATGAACGCACTTTGTTTTGATTATGTCAATACCATTAAATCCTGCCATGTGAATTTAATGTCCCTGTTTCCATAACAACTAATGTCCTTCAAATGTGAGGATGGGTTACACTGAAAATCCCACAAAAACTGAAAGAAATGAGACAAATATGTGACACAGCAAGTCCTTGGTGTTGTGGTTCAAAGCTTCCCTGTTGTACAACTTAGATGCTCTGTAACTCATTGATGCTTCCCTGCTGATGAGTGCATCTGTCGTTCTGAAATTATAAGTCAAGCTTCTTTGGCCGAAACTTGCTTCTGGCATGTGTATTTATACTTGGCATTTCAAAGTTAATATTTTGGGTTCAGCAGAGGGATTCAAAACAAACATTTTCTGAAACGTTCCAAATTCTTAAGCAGATAGTTGAGTCTAAACCGAAGCGAGTGAGCGAGAGAGAGAGAGAACCAAGTATGGAAGAGGCTGCAGTTGCTTGCCCAGTATCCATTCTACAAGTTTCCCCCTTGTAATAGAACAACAGTAACAGTGAACAGCTGTGTTTCCCAGGATTCCTTTACAGCTTGGCGAAGCCACAGGACCACATTCTGGTCAATGAGGTGAAGGCTTTAAGAGAATCGAATCAGGTGTGAGGTATGCCCTTTTTTCTTTTCTTCAATTTTTTTTTTTATGTTGTGTTTTATATTTGAGAGAGAGAGACAGAGCGCAAGCAGGGGAGGGGCAGAGAGAGAGGGAGAGACAGAATCTGAAACAGGCTCCAGGCTCTGAGTCGTCAGCACAGAGCCCGACGTGGGGCTCAGACTCACTAGCAGTGAGATCATGACCTGAGCTGAAGTCAGACACGCAACTGACTCAGCCCCCCAGGTGCCGCCCCCCCCCCTTTCTCGTCTTTGTCTACTTCCTTCCACCTTCTAGGATGTAGACATAATGCCATGCTTCAGCAGCCATCTTGGACTATGGGATGACTGAAGAGGAAAGCTGGCTGGTGACTAAAGATGACAGAAAGATAGGAGTCTGGGACACTGATGATAGGGATCTGCCCTATACTACCTACCTTTGGGCTTTTCACATGGAGGAGAGAAATAAACTTACCTTGTTTAAAGTAATGTCATTTGGAGGATTTAGTTATATGAAAACACACCTAATTCTAAAGTGATAGATTATGGCAGGGAAAAACTAATAGAAAAGTCATTTCTCCAGCTATGTTAGCACATTTTGGTCTGTTTGTCCACCTCCTAGAATGAACAGCATTGTCTGAGAACACGTGCCTAAACGTGTTCTCTCACGCTCAGCGAGGTTAAGCAACTTGCCTAAAGTCACCTAGCTAGTAAGTGGCAGAGCTAGAGTTCTAGTTCAACCTAGGCTTTTACTCCTCCCTGCTTTCCCCATCAGGGTAGCATGACTTACTAATTACAAGTCTGCGGACTTTGTTGTTTTTAATCAATAGTATCATCGTGTTTAATACTCAGCAGGGTGTGCAATGGTCAGGTCTGGGCTGAATCCACCCCAAATCCAAGGAGCCTGGAAGAATTTTGGTAACCATGAAGATGCTGTCTCCTCTGGAATCTTCCAGCCTTCATGAGTAAGGCTTGTGTATATCTCTTCTTTACCCAGTCCCCATCTATAATGCTCCCAGTAAATGGTAATAGACTTTGTACAACTGGAGGGAAGAGACTGCTTTGAGGTTCCACAAAAAGTTACCTTTGCTTAGAAGAGTTTAGTAACAGGTGGTTCCTTGGCCACCTTTGTTGGCCTTCTACAACGGTATTTCAAATCAAGCCACTTACTATATCGACCTTGTAGCATGAGGGAGCACTCAATAACGGACATGGCTAATCTTGGAAATGAGATTTGTCAACCCACCAAAATTAAGGACAGGGGAGAAGGAAGCCTCTTTGTTTATTTGGGCCATTCTGGTTCAATGAGTGTGGGTGACAATGAAATTTACTCATGAGAATTTTAAGTCCTGCCCCAGAAACACCAATTAAGTGACAAGCTGTCTGCTTCTCTCTTCATACTGAGAATAGTCTTAACTTATCTTAACATGGGACCCAGTACCAGTTCCTGGAGGGTGGTGGCTCCGTCCCTGGACCACAAGAGCTCTGAAGGCATGTACACCCAGTGCCTGGCTCACTGCATGCCAATACGATGAGCCTCCAAATGTTTGTTGCTTAAAGGGTTGAATGAATTTCTGAGAGCCTACAATGCTAACCATGACTAATGTTACCTTAATACAATGGTTGTCATGCGGATGTAACCCAATCTTAAAAATACATGAGAAATAGTTATAGAATCCATGTAAAGCTGGGTCCTTTGTGGCTAATCTTAGCACATTGTCACACTTAAAGGAACCAATTAGGTTTCCCTACATGTAACCGTAAAGTCAAAATAATAGTGGCTTAAACAAGATTTAAAACTTTATTTCTCTTTCATTTTAAAGAAATCTAGAGTAGACAATCAGGCAGCATCGTAACAGTCACTAAAGACCAACTTTTTTTTCTATCTTTCTCCTCTTTTTTTGTTTTTTGTTTTTTTTTTTTTTAACATTTATTTATTATCAAGAGACAGAGAGAGACAGCATGAGTAGGAGAGGGGCAGTGGGAGGGGGAGACACAGAACCCAAAGCAGGCTCCAGGCTCTGAGCTGTCAGCACGGAGCCCAACGCAGGGCTCGAACTCACAAACCGTGAGATCGTTGGCCTGAGCCGAAGTCGGACGCTCAACCGACTGAGCCACCCAGGCGCCCCTCTCCTCCATCTTTATAATAAGTAGCTTCTTTTCTCAGGGTCACCTCATGGTCCAAGCTGGCTGCTAGATCTTCTGTGATCACATGTAAGTTGTAGTCTTTCAGAATGAGTAAAAAGCAGGAAGTCAGAAAAGGAATTCCCCTAGCTGTGTATTTTCCACATAGTCTTTCTGGAAGTCCTATCCCAAAACTTCTGCTTACATCCAGTTAGCCAGAACTTAACCATATGCTCATACTTAGCTGCAAAGGAGGCTGGGAAATGTAGTGTTTTAGGAAGACACGTGAACAGTCCTTCTTTTCTACCCCTGTAGTGTAGGCCAGCTGTTCTCAACACTTAGGCTCTTGAAAACCTTTTATACCCTTAAAATATACGGAGGAACCCAAAGAATTTTTGATTATGTGATATATATTAGTATTTACCATATTAGAAATTAAAATAAGAAAATTAAATATTGTTTATTCATTATAAAATTAGTATATTTTATATCAAATATATTAATATATTAGTATATTGTATATCAAATCATCACATTGTACACTTTAAAATCTTATCATTTTACTTGTGAATTATACCTCAATAAAGCTAGAAAAAATTTAAAAGCGCTCCAGGGTCTTCAAAAAACTTAAAACATAAAGATAAAAATTACAGGGGCACCTGCCTGGCTCAGTTAGAAGGGCGTGTGACTCAATCTTGGGACCATGAGTTCAAGCCCCACGTGGGGTGTAGAGATTACTTAAATAAATAAATAAACACATAAATAAACTTTTTAAAAAATTAAAAATAAATTAAAAATTAGTTTAATTTTTACTTTAATTAATTTTAAAATTAAAATAAATAAAAATTATAATTATATACCCTTTATGTGTTAAATAACATATTTTTTCCAAAGTGGAAAAGAAAGGTGAGAAGAATGGTATTTCTTTTCAATTTTGCGAATTTTTATAAAAGTATCCAACTGAACAGAAGACAGCCAGATTCTTGTATCTATTTCTGCATTGAATCTGTTGCAATGTGCTGTTTGGGTTGAATTATATGAAGAGAATCTGGTTTCACACAGATGTGTAAGTTGGAAATATAGAAATATTTCTAAAGCTTTTCAGATAATTGTAGATGTTATTCTTTGACACGACACCAAAACTCACATGGCCGTTTCTTTTTTTTTTTTAATTTTTTTTTCAACATTTATTTATTTTTGGGACAGAGAGAGACAGAGCATGAACGGGGGAGGGGCACAGAGAGAGGGAGACACAGAATCAGAAACAGGGTCCAGGCTCTGAGCCATCAGCCCAGAGCCCGACGCGGGGCTCGAACTCACGGAGCACGAGATCGTGACCTGGCTGAAGTCGGACGCTTAACCGACTGCGCCACCCAGGTGCCCCTCACATGGCCGTTTCTTAAAGGCTAATTGCAATATGGAATCTGAAATCATATCCATGATTATTTTGCAGTCTATCCATGAAAAGCCATTGGTCTATCTAGTGTGTTGAATGTATTTTTTACAGGCACATGATTTTGTAATATCATGTAGTGCTCATGTGGAAAATATTCATTCACTGAGTTATGCCGACCTTTCAAATGTTAACATTTCATTATATAATAGAGTTTAAAATCACATTTTTAAATATTCTTTTATGTTTATTTTTTGAGAGAGAGAGAGAGGTAGGTCAGGGAGGGGCAGAGAGAGAGAGAGAGAGAGAGAGAGAGAGAGAGGGAGAGAGAGAATCCTAAGCAGACTCCACCCTGTCAGTGCAGAGCCCGACGTGGGGCTTGAACTCAGGAACTGTGAGATCATGACCTGAGCGGAAACCAAGAGTTGGACGCTTAACAGACTGAGCCACCCAGGTGCCCTTAAAATGACATTTTTAAATACCACTTTGATCTCAAAAATAAAGTACAGTTTTAGGGAAGTTGTCGAACTCGTGATGACAAATAAAATTTTCAGAAATTCTAATTTTCGCTTGAAAGGTTCAATATTATCATTAGCACTAAATGCTGTCAGTTATTTCCCTTGAAGTGACAAACTGACTTTGTCCAGTTTTGAAAGAATATCCGCCAGGTACACAAGTCTAAGTAGCCATGGTGCCTCCTGCCACGGGCCTTTGAGAACCACAGAGTAAGCTGGGAGGTCAGCCAGGGTGTCACTTAAGCACAGGGACCAGAAAGGTGACCCCTGAAGGTGAGCCCCCAGTGACCTCTGAGGGGCCAAATGAGGCAGAGACACGCTCTAGTCTAAACCTGTTCTCTTTGGAGCTTTATAGACAGAGATTTTTGTTTTCCCTTTGCAGTTTCTTGGCCTTCTGAAAAATTCCAAGCATGTTTTCGTGGCTCCTGTTCAGACTGTCGAGGGATCAGGGAGTCCTTCCTGGCTGACGGGGCGATCAGACCAGCCCCAGAGGCCCAGAAGGAAAAGCCTCAGCTGGAATGCAGGAAGGACCAGGAGGGAAAGGGCCTGTGGCTGCTGCAGGCGCTGATGTCCTTGCACGGACCCATCCGGAGTGGGAAAGAGTAGGAAGGGGGGCACAGTTAATCCTACAGCTCCTTCTGATGAGGAAATTGGGTAGCTAGAGTTACTCTCAGTTTCATCCCCAAAGGTCCCAAGGTACGTGAATTGCTGCTGTGGTGAGCAGTTTTTCAAGGTGTGGAGGCAGAGGCTGGGTTGAGAAAACTATCAAAGAAAGAACCTGTGGAATCTGACTCATGACTCTCTGTGTGCCGTTGTTCCATTGACATTGGTCACTGTTTACCTAACATTGAACATTAGCCAGCAGAGGACTTTAGCAACAACATATATGTGTGAAAAATCTTTCCCACACAGGGTGAGTGACAGACAATGGAACACTCTGTTCTCTCTCCCGAGACCTTATGTGTGTATGTCCATGTAAAAGTGTTATTCATATCACAGTATAAACATACCACATTTGCATCTATGTGCCTTGTGTGTATATCTGTTGCATATATAAGCAGCGGTGGCAATGAAAATTATTTACTCTAGGACTCAAGAAGATGCTGTTAACAGTAAAAGTACATGGGGAAAGATCATTTCCTTCTCTTCTTCCTTTTTTTTTTTTTTCAATGTTTATTTATTTTTGGGACAGAGAGAGACAGAGCATGAACGGGGGAGGGGCAGAGAGAGAGGGAGACACAGAATCGGAAACAGGCTCCAGGCTCTGAGCCATCAGCCCAGAGCCCGACGCGGGGCTCGAACTCACGGACCGCGAGATCGTGACCTGGCTGAAGTCGGACGCTTAACTGACTGCGCCACCCAGGCGCCCCTCTTCTTCCTCTTTCTAAAAATGATTTTGTGAACAGATAGTAAATGAGCATGGTAAAAAAAAAAATCCATTAGGGGCACCTGAGTGGCTTTGTCGGTTGAGCGTCCAACTTTGGCTCAGGTCATGATCTCGCGGCTCGTGGGTTCTGTGCTGACAGCTCAGAGCCTGGAATCTGCTTCAGATTCTGTGTCTCCCTCTCTCTCTCTCTCTGCCCCTCCCCTGCTCATGCTCTCTCTCTCTCTCTCTCTCTCTCTCTCAAAATAAATAAACATTTTTTAAAAATCCATTGATTAGCATGGACTAAAGTGAAAAATGACCTTCCCATCCTCTGCTCCAGAAACGATTATTACCAGTCCTTATGTATTCATTAAGACATATTAAATCTATTTTAAAAACTGTAGGGGCGCCTGGGTGGCTCAGTCGGTTAAGCGGCCGACTTCACCTCAGGTCATGATCTCACGGTCCGTGAGTTCGAGCCCCACGTCGGGCTCTGTGCTGACGGCTCAGAGCCTGGAGCCCGTTTCAGATTCTGTGTCTCCCTCTTTCTCTGACCCTCCCCCGTTCATGCTCTGTCTCTCTCTGTCCCAAAAATAAATAAATTAAAAAAAAATTTTTTTAAAAACTGTACACATACACACATTCCATCTTTTAAAATTTTATTTTTTGAAACTAATAAATTGGAAGATTCAAAGTGGAAAATCTCTGACTTCTTACACAAGCTTCACTTTCAGCCCGTTGTGTGTAGACATATTTGTGTGTATGATTTACACACGTGTAGATTTTGTGCTGGAGGACAAATTCTTTGTTCCCGAAGAAAACTTCTGGAACCCAGAAAACTGATTTCCTTCCCAGTTCATCTGGTTATTAATCTTCTTAAAAGCTCAAGGCAAATAAAATTCCCCTATCTGAGACCTTTGTGGTATCCCAAAGGCAGGTGAGAATCATTCCCATGGAGTTGTCTTCACTTTCTGATTTGTCATCAGTTCTTAAGAGCAATCCAGTAACGGTTTATTTAGTACGGCTCGCTGTTGATTTTATAACCAACTGCTGACTGCCTGGGACATAAAACTCTTGATGATTTACTAGTAGTAAATGGGCAAGAAATCCATAAATCACATTCTATAAGAGGGTATAGGTGAACACACACACACACACACACACACACACACTTATCCACCTTCAAAGGAAGAGTTGTAGGCATGTCCAGAAAATATATTCATTTTTAACTTGAGGAGAATTGGGAACTCACTGGTGAGAGGTCCACAATCAATGACCTCTGCGAGTTAAATTGTACCAGGTAATATTTTAATGTTCAGCAAGAGGTTTTGCCAATTATTTCTTAAAGAGAGACTCTGGTTTCTACTTCTGAGATGTTCCAAGGAGTTTTTATGATTTCTGAAGGGAAGAACTTTTTTTTCCTAAAAGATTTGGCCTAACAAGTCAAAACTGCTAAAGGTTGCCAGAATTTTCAGATACTCTTGAAAATATTCAGCAACTCATAATTATCAACTAAACATTCACTTAAAGATCGCTTTGTGTTTTCGTGTATGTATTTTTTCTAGGCCTATGTTTAGAAAAAATCTCTAATAATGTGCAAAAATTGGAAGAAATAAGTTTCTTCTTCCAGGGAAGTCTTAGAGTTTCAGGGAAGTGACAAAGGAGGAGATATAAAGTGAAAAATCTTGAAAAACATTTTTGGTTGGAAAGTGAGATTTAATAAATATGAATCTGCTACTATGAACAATTTTCTGGTTGTCTGCCTTCCAAAATACAGTATAAGGTAACTAGAAACTTAGGATGCATTTAGCAAAAAGCTAATCTCATTTGGTTTTTGAATGAAGCAAAATGAAGAGGTAAAAATAAAATAGAGAAGATTGGGAATAAGTTGAACAGTGATTTAGATATTTGATGACCTTAAGGAAGTGTACATTTTTTAGGTGTAATCATGGCATGACTCTTTTTTTTGAGTCTTTACCTTTTAAAGATACACAATGAAATATTTTTAAGATGATGTGATTTACTTTTTAAAAATCCAGTTGGGGGTGCCTGGGTCGCTCAGTCAGTTAAGCATCGGACTCTTGATTTTGGATCAGGTCATGGTCCCAGGATCATGGGATCAAGCCCTGCACTGAACATGGAGCCTATTTAAGATTTTCTCTCTCTTTCTCTCCCTCTCCCTCTACCCCTCCACACCTCACACTCTTCCTCTGTCAGTCAATCAATCAATTAATAAAATATCCAGTTGGGTTATACAACTGCCAAATCATTATATTGTACACCTGAAACTAACATAATGTTAGATGTCAGTTATACCTCAATTAAAAAAAATCTTTACAAAATAAAATAAAAAGATGAAAAACCCTGAAAAAAAATAATAAAAATCCAGGTGGGGGATTGTGGGTGGGGGTGTCAATGAAACAACCTCGGCCATGAGTTTTGAGGTTGGGTAATGGATGACCCCGCAGGGTTTCATGTACTATTCTCTCTACCCTTGTAGTTGTTTGAAATTTTTCACAATGTAGAAAACAGCAGAACAGCTAAGTTGAAGTGGTCATGTATTAGCCATTTGGAAAGCTCTTCATTTATTTATTTCATATTTATTACTCAACAGGAGCCGGGTGTTGGTTGTGCAGAGGGCTCTGCATGAGGCCTTTGGTGAATGCCAAGTGGTGTGAGTTGCATTCTGCAGACAGCACCCTGGTTATCTCGACGGGCAGGGACACTACTGAGAACTAGGTGGGAAGCTTTCTTTGTTGATAAAAGGAGTCTACCTGACAACGGTTACTACGAGGAGCTTCTTTTTGGGGGAGAAACATCAGCCGCCTGGGGTGCAGGGTTTCAGCCAGCCCTGCTCCAGGGATCCAACAGTAAACAAGGCCCATGAGGCGCTCCAGAGGTCAGAAGCTGAAAACAGACACCCACAGCCAGCTCTTCCCAAACAAGAGTCTTTATTTTTATGATGTACCCCGCCCTCTGTCAAAAAAAAAAAAAAAAAAAAAAAAAAAAAAAGTGCGGAGAGCATTATTTAAATGGCTGGTTTTGTAGCAAAGAGCTTGAAACTCAGATCGGTGCCCGGCACAGTGGAGCCAAAAGGAAAGGATTGATTGATCGCAGGCTCTGGGAAGCCCTCCACCTCTGCAGGACCCCTCCCTCTGGAGTTCTGTAGAAGGGAGGAAACACACACCCAGATTGCACAAGAGATCCAGTCCTTGGTTGGCCCAAATGGATCAAGAAGAAGTCCCAGGAGCTCTGTGAAAGCTTCTTCCCCTTGGTGGCTGGGCCTCACTTCACAGGCCTAGATAATCCCTCTCCTGCCCTGTCAAGATCCTGAGGTGTTATCAGTCTCTCCAGCCAAAAGGCCCAGCCCAAATCGGCTCCCAGGAGAAGTTTCCACACAACATTACATTCTTCAGAAACCTGTCTCCTTTGATTAACAAGACCTTTTAGCTTTCTTTTGAATTCTATATAGATGGCCAGAACGCACCCACACACACTGTCCCGCTAACGGCTGAGGGTGGAGAAGTGTCTCCTGGTGTTGGGGTAACCTAGATCTGAGCTTTGCCAGCAAAGTCAATGTTACACCCTATGTGACACTGGGTTTACCCTAACCAGTAAGTGTTCAGAATCATTATCACAGCTCCCTCCTCATTAAGGGCATTCAATGGCTTTCCAGTTGCTCTGCCGACACAGACTAAAATGGCTGACAAGGCTGACAAGGCCCTAAAGGTTCTGGCCTGGGCACTGAAACTTTGAGCACGTTCCCAAAGCCAGGGCCACTTTGCACACTGATAATCTCAGGGTGGATAGTATAGCAGGGGCCGGACAGACTCTGATTCACTAGCCCCACATCACAGTCCTCCATTCATCCCTCATAAGATACTGACAGAAAGAATGATAAAAGGCAAATATCCGGATGACAAACTAAAAACTCTTCCAGTCAAAGAGACCGAGCACAGACTCAGTGTTGGAATCCAAAAGCCATTCAGTGGGCTTTCTATCATGCTGGCACCTGCAACCCCTGAGTGAAGACAGAGACCATGGTGTCTTGAAGCAAGAGAGCAGGTGGATGTAATTCTCGGGTAGCAGAAGGCCCCTCTATTTGGTGCCCTGCAGTGGCAGAGGAATACTGTTTACACAGCCTGTAAGGTGCCCCCTTAATACTGCCTCCCGCTTAGGGGGGATTGCCAGGCATCTCCCTCCTTCTCTTTGACTGGGTATCAGCTACTGTTCCCTCAGCTACCAGGACAGTCCTCAGAGGTCAAGAGACATCAGTCACAAAGCTTTCCTGTGTGAACAGTGCTCCCTGGGGTTCTGCAAGGCAGGGGCCTTGACTTCACTTCCTCAAGCAAGCCCTCCTGATCCTCCTGACCGGTCCAGAGCTATGAGACCCCTCCTGGATGTCAGAGAGTAGTTGATCAGATCTGTCTCCCCTCCTAGACTAGAAGCTCTGCTCTTCTGTTGGTGGGCTTCCTCGCTGTTCTATCCCCACTTGGCCCATGTCCTACCAGGGAGTAGAAGTTGAATGAACAATTTCTCATTCTCCCACCCCCTGACTGTTCCAGGCCTGCCACCCACCTCGAGCTCCTGACACTCTGATGCACAGTCTTCGGAGGCATCGATGACCTCTGTGTTGGCACTTTTTCTCTTTCTTGGAACAGGGATGGTGCTGAGTAATTTTGTTGCCTGGAGCTAAAAACTCCCCAAGGCCACTTCCCTACGTGTGGGACTCGTGGCATCACTGAGATAAATCGGCTTTCCTGCCTGGCCTGCTTCTACACATGGACACCCTTTCCAAACATCTTTTTGTGATTTGACCTCCCCTTGATGCTCATTATAACTGAAATCCAGGAATATAGAGTTGTGGGATGGGGGAGGATGAGCAGAGCAAGGGGTGAGGGAAGCAGGCACGCAGGGCTCCAAGTGTCATTGCCAGTAGGCATGCCACAGGTGATGCTCAGCTGTGTCCCTGTCCCCAGACTTCCTCCCCAGAACCAGTGGCTCTCAGTTAGGAATCCAATATTTCATGACTATTGTTTCTGTAAACAGAATCACATTTTTCCATTATTTTCTGTCATCACACATCAAAACAAATTCTCATATAAAAAGGTTTTGTTCTGGGGCACCTGGGTGGCGCAGTCGGTTAAGCGTCTGACTTCAGCCAGGTCACGATCTCGCGGTCCGTGAGTTCGAGCCCCGCGTCGGGCTCTGGGCTGATGGCTCAGAGCCTGGAGCCTGTTTCCGATTCTGTGTCTCCCTCTCTCTCTGCCCCTCCCCCGTTCATGCTCTGTCTCTCTCTGTCCCAAAAATAAATAAACGTTGAAAAAAAAAAATTAAAAAAAAAAAAAAGGTTTTGTTCCTAAGATATAATACAGATCACAATAATAATAAGCCAAGCATATTTTAATCATGTCCTTGGAAAATGAGATGTTTTTGATAAAAATTAGTAAAAATCATGAACATGGTACCAAAACGTTAAGGAATTGCTGAATCCTGTCTTCCTCTGGGATGAGCCTCCCTTATCTCGAGTGACAGGAAAATATTTTCTTTTAAAACTCAATGGTCGTAACTGTCTCTTCTAAAGTCTTCGATCCGTGGTGGTGGTTTATTACCCAGTTCAGATTCAGGGAGATTAAGGCCACCAACTTCTTTTATATAGAAGATGAGCTTCTGTTGACCATAAAGATTGTTTCCACGATCCATGATTTTCCGGGTATGGACACGAGGCTCTATTTTGTCTAATTGAGCAGAACTCATCAACAGGTGCTTATAGAAGCACCCATGTTCTGTTGGTCCCTGGGCCCAGGTGGCTTGCGTCCAGCAGAGATCCTAGCCTGGGTGGACACATCAAGCTTTATCCTTGCTAGTAGTCCTTGTGACCCAGTGATAACTTAAGGATTTATTGACATCATTATCCTATTATTATTTATTTTGTATGGTTATTATTTTATTTTGTAGCCAGCTACCTAATACTTTTTGAACAGGAGACGTTATTTTACTTTATTCAGCTGTTAAAATGTTTTGCAGCCGTTAAGATACTCAGAGCCCTCATGGGACGCTGGATGGCAACCGAGTTGTTTGGGGATCTGCAAACCCCCTTTGAGGGGCTGAGAACCGGCACTGGGAAATCTCCAGGTGAGCCTATTTTCTCTTGCCCACCTGCTACCCACCCCCCACTCTCACTTCCATGGAATCTTCCAGAGTCCCAGCAGCCGTGATGTTTCCCTTGACTGCCGGAGCTAAAATTGAGACCCCAGTGCCTTCCTGGCAAGGGGTGGGTTGTGGACAAAGAAATAAAATTTCTGCCCATGAACCGTATGCGGGAATGTCCAGCTGTACCAGAAGGAAATATCCCCCCACCCCGGGCCTGATTTTTACCAATCTGAGACGTGTTGGTTCCCATTTCCCCTCCCACCGCACCCCCTTGAACGGTCTCCATCAGGCTGCCTAGGCTGTCCTACTGTCCAGACTCTGAAAGTCACGGCATCCGACACCTCATTCATCAGCAACAATGACTTAAATGCTGTTCCCTCATCATCATGGTCTAGCGAGGAAGGGAGTATATTTCCTCATAGGGAGGAGGAGAGAAGCAGGTGGAGTTCTCTTCTCCCAGCTGTGTCTCTTCCAGCTGGTCAGCATCAGGGCCGGACCTGGCAGTGGGAGCAGAAAACACAGACCCGTTACAGCCCACGACGCGTGTCTCAGAGCTGACGCCGCCACCCTGGGGAGAGGCCACACAGACCTTCGCATTCTCCTGACACCTTCCTTCTAGACCGGACAAAGTCACGGGCTGTGACTGTGACACCTGCAAGGGGACCGTCCCCCTCCACACCACGTACCTGTCATTTCCACCAGCCACAGTCGAAGAGTAGTCTTGCTCTCCAATAAACGTGGCGTTGTCTGGAGGGTAGATGGTGTAGTACTGAGGAGGGCTTGGCGTGGCCGTCACCACCCCTCCAGGTGGTATGAGACCACAGGGGTTCACCACTGGCTGCAGGTAGGCGGCGTTGATCCCAAGGGGCTCTTGAGAGCCATAGGGAGGAGGGATATATTGCACCACAGTGGCCCCATGGAAGGTGATGGGCTGGTTGATACCAGTGAAAACAAATGATTGTCCTCCCGCCGTCTGCTCCAAATCCAGAGCCCTTTCCTCACTTTCTTTGCACACCTGGCAGGAGAGCATTTTGAACTTGCACACAGCAATCAGGATGAATGTCACTCCGACCGATAGCAGGATGGGCCCAAGGAGCTGGGTCCATTCAAAGTGAGAGACACCTTGGTATTTGATCCAGCCCATGATGGTGAACGTGATCCCCACTAGTCCCAGGAAGATGCCTGAGAAGAGCAAGGTGGCCCCTGCCTTGTCATCATCGGACACCTGGATGTCAGCGGTACTGGGTGTGTAAGGAGTGACCGAAAACACGTTGAGAGGGAAGTCGTCCAAGTGGCTGCCGCCTTGCTCCATCGTCCGCATGCAATCACCCCGCTTCCCAGAGGGGAAAGGGATTATGAGAGCTCCTCAGAGCACAGCAAAGCAATCACAGGCTCCGATTAGTTAGGGAAGAACTTTGGGCCTCTGTGGTTAACAGAGTATAACAGGCAGAGGCCTGAACTTTGTTTAGACGAGTAAAGGTCTGAGAAATGAAGCTTGAAGTTTTCTTATACATTGTCCACGATTGGCGGGCCTCTGTTTTACAATTCAATGACAAGCCCTTTCTCATTCACATTCATTCATTCATTCATGAATTCAAAAAGTGTTTGAGCCTGTCCTTTTGTGCCACGGGGTGCTTTTCTAGATGCTAAAGGAACCGCTCCCGGGCCCTGTTTGCATCCTGCCAAAACCAGGATTCTAGAAATGGCAGAGGGACCTCCGGGGCCTCTGGCAGAGCAGGGGCCCTTGATGTACTCATCGCATGCTCAGACACCTAACCCACTTTTCCTGCTGGATCAACTCACTGGAAGGGAACAGACACACATTTCTTGACTGTGTCGTCCTTCCCACGTCAGGGGGCTCGACCTGTGATGACCCTTAACCACCCACAGCCCTCACCGAGCTCTTAGGCGCTGCTGTCTTCTGGTCAGCCCATATGCCTTTTGCTTTCAGCCTTGGGGAACAGTTCCAACCAGGGGTGAGGAAGGACCCCCTAGGAAACCTTCCTATGCACCACATCAGTGGCAAAAGTTGAATGAGCGTCAGGTATGACCTGGCATCTAGGGGACACCTGCTGCAGACCCTCCCTCTGTGGTGGCAGCACGGCCCCTGGTCTCCAAGGTGAAGTCAACACCGGCTCTTTTTTTAAAGGGAACATTTTTTTAATTAATTTTTTTTGAGGGGAGGGGTGGAAGGAGAGAGAGAATCTCAAGCAGGCTCCATGTTCGGTGGCTTTTTAAGCCTGCTGTGTTTGCAACCAAACTCAAGCTAATTCAGAGAAGAAAGCTTGACCTTTAATGACATTATTGGTCATTCATGATTGCAGAACTCGAAAGCGGCCCCATAAATTTGTTCCTCCACAGAATAGTAACTGTAATCCCCTTCCTTTCCTGGACAGGCCTTACCCAAACAGATGTGTCTCTTCAGTGGTTAAATATTATATTAGCTCCCTTTCCCATTAATAAGCAGAGGTCTGGGAAAAGAGTTGCCCTCTTGCCCTAGACAAGGCTTCCAAACTTTCCTAATGATACAAATCACCAGGGCCACTTTCTTTAAGGGCAAAATCTAAGTTCCTAACTCAGACCAACAGAATCAAAACTCCCAAGGAAGTGTGAATGCCCCGAGTGGCTTTTATCATCGGAATCTTTGTTAACCTACTCCAAGTTAATCCCAAGTGCTGCTGGAAGACCAGTGGACTTTGTTGCCCACCAAAAACGCCTCCCCTCTGCTACAGGACAAGGCCTGTAATCTCTAACTTCATTTCCAGCTGGGAAAGCAAGCAGGTGACCCCCCTCGGATATTGTCCCAGATGTGTCCTTAAGCAGCCAGATGGGCTGGTGGTGCATTTGAAGCGCTCTGCCGCTTTTCCCACTGAGCTAGATCAAAGACCCAGAGAAGCCAGCTTTTCTCTCTAATCATAAAAATTCTGATCAGCTAGCCTGACATTCTTTTCATGCTCTTAATCCCTGAGTTAACAGTTGAAACAGTCCTTGGCATTTAGAAAAAGCTAGGCTTTCAAAATTCTTCTTCTAAACCACTCAGTTTATATTTTTCATTTGTCTGTAGCTATGTCCACTTGCAGCTAAGAGAGTAACTGGGAACACTGAAGGAGCAGGGCGGAGGGATCGCCTTTATGAAAATATCCCATGAGAGCAAAACTGGAATGACTTTCACAGCAGAAAGTCCAGGAAGTTCTCTTGTTACACTTTCAAGGTCACCTTGATTTAGTTTCTCCCTCCAAAAGCACAAACTCTGTGTATATGGTAAATAACAATTAAAAAACAAAACAAAACAAACCCCTAACAAACTGAATTCAACAGCATATTAAAATGATTATGTGCTATGACAACCAAGTGGGATTTATTCTTGGAATGCAAGGATAGTTCAACATTCAAAAGCCAATCAATGTAATACATGAACAGAATGAAGGGGGAGGCGGGGAACCCAGTGCTTATATCCGAAAAAAAGTGTTAGGGTTCATTGAACATATTATGGACCAGGCATGATTCTGGATATTTAATATGCATGGTATCATTTCACCCTTTTAACAACCAGGTTATAGTCAATCAAGAAAATGATGCTGAGCTCCAGGGCCTGGGGTCACTTGCATATTTGACCACTGCAGCTTCATGGCAGCGGGGGCCTGGACACCCACGACCACAAAATAACCTCTGACTCTGCTTTTCCCTCTAAAGTCATTTTGACTTTAGTCATTTCTTAGTTTAGATCCTACTTAATTAATGATGTGCTTAATTTAATTCTTATATATACATGATTTGCATTTGTAGATAACGTCTAGAATTATGTACGGTGTTACGTTTACATTTGAGTAGATTGCCTGTTATTTCAGCCATTAATGTATTTCAGCATGGAAAGAGACATTTAAAACAATAAGATTATTTTAGGATGAGAAAAGAAGAGAACCCTATGCTGGTAATTAAGCTCCAAACCATCCTTAGGTACTCTGCTTTAGCGAAGACTCTACCAAGGAGATTTTTCCTTTGCCAGGTGGCTCCATGTTAGGCTCTGCCCATAGGGCGCGCTGGAGGGAGACTGCAAGAGAAAGAAATTACTATTTCCTGTTTTGCTTGCTGTTACTGTCAGTAGATTTCATCATTCTGGCTGTGACAGTTCCAATTTCTAGGCGTCCCCCTGCAACACACCCAGACCAGCCTCACGGTGCCCCTTCAAAAATACCAGCAATGTATTGTATATTTGCAAGGTGCCAAGAGAGTACATCTTAAAAGTTCTCATCACAAGAAAAATTATGTAACTATCCATGGTGATGGATAGTAACTATGTGGTATATGTGAAACTAATACAATGCATGTTGATTAAAAAAAAAAAAAAATGACCAGCACCAGCCAGACAGTGCTTCCTCCCTGGAGGTTTTTGGTTGTTGGTTTCGTTTACTAGATCACTGGTTTATTATGAAAGGATATAACACAGGAACAGGCAGATGGCATGGGGCAAGGGCGGAGCTTCCATGCTCTCTCCCTCCAAATCTCCATGTGCTCACAATCCTGGATATGAGCACACATGTGAACCTCTCCAGAGGTTCTTGGCCCAAGATCGTCAGATGCCAGCACTAGCTAAGCGCCATTTTCTACTCAGAAAGCTGGGTCCCAATTCCATGGGGTCTCTTCTCCAAGCTTCTGCGTTGTAATGTAATTCCAGCCTCTTCCCTTTGCCCCCCAACCTGCTACTACCTGAGTTACGTCAGTGCTCACTTTGTGCTTTTTCAGTCCCCCAATATCTGTTGAATTTCCTATATTAAATCTTTCTATTAAAATAGCTGGTAAAGTTTCTGTTCCCCTAACTGGATCCTGACTGATACATAATATTAACAGTGGGGTTAGGAAACAGACCTACAAAAATGGGATTATGGGGTTGGTTTGGTCATTTCTTGGCCTCACAGATAGTGCTGAGCTCCTTGTCAATGAAGAATGGGATGTTAGTAACCTATGGCATGCAGTAATATCGAAACTAATCAAAGCATCAGTCGTAGTAGTAGGCTGTGAGGAAGTTCCTGGTGAAGAAAGTGATGTAAGGACCAAGTGGCTGCTACATTTAACCACGGTGGTAGCAACAATGGACTATGAGGTCTGTGGGAGTAGGGTGGCTGCATTGGAGTGCCCTAGAATAGTTAAATAGAACATTAACGAGCTCAAGGCTTTAAACTCTCAGCTCAAGTAATGGTCAGGAAACCAAAGAGCTTCTACGGTGACCCTAAAAGAATGTCTTTTCTTTTTTTCTAGTACCTGCAGGGCTGACCTCCCTAAAAATCAAACACACAACTCAAATATGCAGGTTACATAATTACGACAAAAGTTTAATTTGAAGCCTCATCAAGTATGTCATATGCAAGGTCAGGGGCTTGTGAAGGATTGGGCTCCTGAGATTTAGAAGGAGGACACCCACGGAAACTCAGATGAAGTTGATAATCTTGAGCCCCCAAGTCATTCTGAGCCATCCTTGTTAGCAGAAGCAACTGTGTCCTCTTACTCTTTTTGGAGGCACTATGGTAACCTCAACTGAAGTAGCAAACGATGCCTCGTTTCCTCAAAATTCCTGCTAACCACCCCTCTTTGCCTCTGAACATAATGGATCAGTTTTCAGCACACTCTAGGGAAGTGGTACAAGGTTCTGACACAGGAGAAAAGATCTTAGAGTCTCTGTGATCGAGGAAGTCTCTCCCTTCAATTTTAATATTTGATTTTCATTGCAGTGACATTATGTGCAATGAAAACATCCAACTTCCACCTTGCAGGTGTTCAAGAATATTTAGCATTGAAACTTGACAAATAGTTGGTGACTAAGCCAACTTTGTGGGCTTTTTGTCATTAAGGTGAGCAATTCATTCATTCATTTTATACAAAATTTGACCCTTTGTAGGATATTTCTTATTCAATGACTAAAAATAAGAATAACTCATAAAGCAGTGGTTCTCAAAGCATGATCTCCAGATCACCAGCATCTAGCAGCTTGTTAGATGTTAGCAGCATCTAACCCCCTAGAAATGTGAATTCTTGGGGGTGCCTGGGTGGCCTAGTTGGTTAGGCAACTGACTCTTGATCTCAGCTCAGGTCTTTTTTTTTTAATTTTTATTTTAGGTTTTTTTTTTTTTTTTTTTTGACAGAGAGAGAGAAAGAGAGATGGAGAGAATGCATAAGCAGTGGAGAGGAGCGGAGGGAGAGGGAGAGAATCTTGAGCGGGCTCCATGCTTAGTGCAGAGCCTGACTTGGGGCTCTGTCCCACAAGCATGAGATCATGACCTGAGCCGAAATCAGGAGTCGGATGCTTAACCGATGGAGTCACCCAGGTGCCCCCCGCCTCAGGATCCCATCTTATCGAAAATTTCTGTGTCAGTTATTATCCGAGTACCTGGGACATGTCCTCACAGACAACATTATAAACCCAAGCTGTCGCCCTATGGGTTACCCTCACTCTTCCCCTTGCTCTCCACTTGCAGCAGCTGTGGGATTAAACGAACCAGAGGCAAAATGACTTTCCTTAAGATGCAGTTACAATAAAAAAAAAAAAAAAAAGTAAAAAGGGGCACCTGGGTGGCTCAGTTGGTTGAGTGTCCAACTTCCGCTCAGGTCATGATCTCGCAGTTCGTGAGTTCGAGTCCCACATCAGGCTCCGGCTTGGAGCCTGGAGCCTGCTTCGGATTCTATGTCTCCCTCTCTCTCTCTCTACCCCCCACCCCGCACATGCTTTGTCTCTCTCTGTCTCAAAAATAAATATTAAAAAATATTTTTTTTGAAGATGCAGTTACAACGACAAAAGAAAGCTAATCAACTAAAACTACATACTTCCAAGAAACAACTAAGGTTAGTGAATCTGCCATTTAGCAAATTAGTTGTTTGGGAGATCAACCCAGATCCATGACTCTATGTAGAATAAAGACTCGGTACATCATCGACATCTATGCTTGTGTCAAAACATTAAAAGTTGATCTCAGTCTTTCACTGATTGTTCAAATATGGCTTTTTAGCACATTAAAATGTATCTTTTGCGGCCCCTGAGTGGCTCAGTTGGTTAAGCTTCCAACTCTTGATCTCAGCTCAGGTCTTGATCTCAGGGTTGTGAGTGCCAGCCCCAAGTTGGGCTTCATGCTGAGTATGAAGCCTACTTCAAAAAAAAAAAAAAAAAAGTCTCGTTTGATGAAAGCACTCTTTTTGGTTTGGCTAACTCTTTTGACCTAAACTTTTTTCAGCCACATCTATAGACCAGACCCACCTTCTTCTGAGGCAGTCATGACACTGACCTTGCAGGAAACTTCAGGTAGTGTTTTATTTGCTCGTTTGGTTGTGGTTTATGATTTTTATAGAAATGGAATCACGTTAATCTTTGGCTCTTTTTTTACCTAGCAGCTCATGCCATCTTTCCCAAATCCATACAATTTATTTTTAATATTCTGACGAAAAGGACTGCTTGATACGGTTACAGCTGAGCATTTCTCCAGCAAGATATATCAAGATATGAAATTGAGATCAAGGATTAAGCTCATTTTTTGCCACAGTAATAAAATCCATAACCTGAATAAGAATCCAGGGTAAAAAAAAACATTTAAACTTTGGTAGAGGCACTGTTGTGGCAAGAGTGTAGGAAAACAGACAACTTTAAGTTGTGAGAACCTAACTGGGTACAACGTCTTTTTTTTGGAACAGAGTGATTTGGCAATATCTATTACAATTGAAAATGCACATACAGTTGAATTCAAGAAGATGCAAGTATTTTCTGCTAGGAACGTAACCTACATATATATTTTACACGAAAGAGTGTCTTAGCAATATAGACAATGAATGTCTGCACTGTCAGTGCACAGCCTGCTTGGGATTCTCTCTCTCCCTCTCTCTCTGCCCCTCCCCACCCATCCCCCTCCCCACAAAAGAGCAAGCAGGTCTATAAGAACAGGTATGAGATGATCTTTAAGATGTGTTGTATACTGTTGTATAGTATATTTACTATGCTACCATTTGCAAGGGGAAAGTGGTATATGCCTGTCACTGAATGTATGTGCTTAAAATATCACTGAAAGGCTGCACAATCAACTGGGATAGAGAAGTGGCTGGGTGTTCCAGTTATCTATGTATAACAAACAGTGATCTATATAACAAGCCACCCCCAAACATTGTGGCTTGAAGCACAATTCCGTAGGCTGACTGAGTTTTGCTGGGCAGTCTGCTAGGAATGCAGCCATCTGTCAGCCCAAGACTTACAGACTGAGCTCAACATCCAAGATGGTTCACTCACACGGCTGGGAGTTCTGCTGGCTGTTGTTAGGAGCTCAGCAAGGTTGTTCACCAGAGCTCCTACCTGTGGTCTTTCCATGTGATTTTTCCCAGCACGGTGCCTGGCTCTCAAGAGGGAGTGTCCTAAGAGTGAGCATTCCATGGGTCCCAGGTGGAAGCTGCAAGGATCTTACAACCTAGCTTGGAAGTCTCAGAATATCACTTCCATTTCATTCTGTTGCTCAAGCAGACCACTAAGCCAAGCCAGATACAAAAGGAATGGAATTAGATTCTTCCTCTCTATGGGAAGAGTGTCAAGGACACAGTGCATGTGGAATAGGAGATAATATTGCCATCCTCTGGAAATACAATCTTCCATAGAGAGATACTGACTTTTTTACCGTTTAGTCTGTGATACTTCTTGAACTTCTGTCCACATGGACATCCAAGTGTGTTTCAAGATTTTAGATCAACCACATTTGTAATTGTTTATGGTTGGTTAGTAGCCTCATCCTTCTTTACAGACAAGTTCTCGGGAGGACTCATGGGGTTACACTGTCACAGCCCTCAGTAACATCATGTTCTGAATTGTCCTGAGTTTCTTGCACATTTTCACTGCTTGTCAGGCTTACCCATCAAACTTCCTGTTTTTAACCACCAACCCACAGTCTTAGTTAAAAATTGTAATTTCGAAATGATTATAGTTCAAAGAGATCAATGAAAAGTGACACTGAAACCACAAAAACAGAGTTATCAGAGAACCCTTGTGGGAAGTGAAACTAAGCATGGTCATGCATTTGTTACCAAAACATTTGATTTCAGCACATTGTGGTGGGAAGGAAACTGCTTTGTGGAGACTGTGTGTGTGTGTGTGTGTGTGTGTGTGTGTGTGCGCGCGCGCGCATGAGATATCAAATGCCTGGAACGTCACCCTCGAGAGAGAAGACTCTGCACTTAAATAAATGTCAGGTGTCTATAAATCAGTTGGAGGTGGATATTTGAAGGAAATCTCAATATTAAGAATTATCTACTAGCCAACTTGTTTCATTTACTTGAATTATGTCTGTGACTGCAGTTTATATTCCTCTTTTACAAAAAAAAAAAAACACAAAACCATGGTGGTTGAATCATAGCTATATAGTAGTCATGCAGAAAATCAAAATTGTCCCTGTGTATTTTACTTTAAGAATCACCAAATATTTGGGGGGGGGGGGTGTGAGGATCGCTGTCGTATGGACTCTGAGCATTCATCCCAGCCTCTTGCTTGAGTTTCCTAATACCCATGTGAGGGGCACTGCCTCAGTTTTACAGGTGATTAATCTCAGCCACAGGAAAGGGTGTTATCTGACCAACCAGCAGGGCAGGAGGGCAATCTGTTTTCCTAAACTGTTTTTAAACCGCTCTTCCATGAAGGGCACGCGCCTGCTGACGAGCGATCCCTCTGTGTTCCTGAGCCAGGCTGCGTCTGCTGAGGGTCACTGGGACAGGCGGTTCTTAGGATGTTCTCTCCGACAACCTTTACATTTCTTTTTTTCGACTGAACTGAATGTTACCTTGGTGGTGCTAGAATGTAAGTCACAGCCACTGACATTTCCAGCAGGCAATAAGGTGGGCCCCCCTAGGGGCGGAGCTCGAGGCCTGAGGATCTTCTGAATGGTGTAGGTTTGCATCAGGCAGTAGCTCCCTTCCAAATTTGGAAATTTAGGTACTTGTGTTTACAGCCATAAGAAGTTCTGGGCTCTTAAGGGAGCCGTGTAATTAGATTACACTCACCTGGATAATCCCTTTTTGCATCAACTGTGTCATATAACATAATGTAGTCACAGGAATGATATCCCATTCACAGGTTCAGGGGGATAAAGGGTATGGAATCTCTTGTGGGAGCAGGTAGGGCATTTTGAGAATCCTGCCTACCACATTCTGGTTCTGCTGCTGGGAGTCAAGAGAGCATTTAAGAACAAGTGATCAGATGAGAATGACTCTCCTGGGGATATGTTTTCCCAGGCTTCGTTGGCATTAATTGCTAAGTAGGTTTAGGTAACATTTGCAGTGGGTCTTATGGTCCTTAACGTGTACAATTTACCCTCATGCCATGGTTCTCACAGTGTGGGCGCAGGACCAGCCTCATCAGCATCATCTGGGACCTTGTCAGAAATGCAAATTTGGGGTCGCGTCCCAAACCTACTCAATTAGACGCTCTGGGTTTGTGGTCCTGAGATGTGTGTCGTAACAGGTGATTCTGATGCTACTCAATTGAGAACTATTTTTCTAAAGTAAGTCCCCAGTTTCTTTCTTTCCTTCCTTCCTTCCTCCCTTCCTGCCTTCCTTCCTTCCTCCCTTCCTGCCTTCCTTCCTTCTTTCCTTCCTTCTTTCCTTCCTTCCTTCTTCTTTCCTCCTTCCTTTCTTCTTTCCTTCCTTTCTTCTTTCCTTTCTTCTTCCTTCTTTCCTCCTTCCTTCCTTCATCCTTCCTTTGTTCCTTCATTCCTTCCCTCTCATTTCTCTGTGTGTGTATGTGTGCATGTGCATAAATCAGGCCATCTCTAGTGACTTCCGTTTCCAACAATCTATGATTCTGTGAATGTTATTAAAATGATTACAGTGTATAAACTAAAAGGCACATGTGTGCATCATCTGTGTGTGTGTGTGTGTGTGTGTGTGTGTGTGAGCTTACATACGCACAGTGGCTGAGAGCAGTCAAATCCTGGGTCCACTAATTACTAGCTGTGTAGCTGGGGCGGCTGCTTAGATTCTCTGAGGCTCAGTTTCCTCATTTATAAAAGAGGCTGCTATGTTTCAGATTCTGTGTCTCCCTCTCTCTCTGCCCCTCCCCTGTTCATGCTCTGTCTCTCTGTCTCAAAAATAAATAAACGTTAAAAAAAAAAAAAAAAGAGGCTGCTAATAGTACCTATTTCGGAAGGGCACGAGGATTGAGTGAGACGACATGGAATGAGTCCGGAGCCTAGTAGCTCAGTGACTGTCAGTTGTAGTTATTTTATCTTGCTACATTTAAGTGTTCCCCTTGGGTTCTTGAGGAGCTGGGTCCCTAGTAGGGCTGGAGTACCAGGCCCAAGTCAAGAGGCCCTGAAACCACTGCCCGGATACTAAGGATTAGCTGAAGGTCAAGATGAAACTTCTCTGATCCTCAGGGTCAGTTTAAGTCATCCCACTACAAAGGGAGTCATTTGGGTAGAGTGTGTACGTAATCCTGTGGCTGCCTCAGTGTCCTTCCCTGGGAAGCTTGAGGAGATCACAACATAGAATCAGCTGAAATGTGGAGAAAAGAAGCTGCAAACAGTGGGCCTTTGTTATCTGTGTGTGTCTGCTTATATGTTTGTTTATTTTTGGTTTTTAATTTTCTTGTTGCTTTTCTTTGTTTTGCATCTTGAAAGGAGCAGAAATAGTTAAGGCCTGGAAGAGGGTCAGGATGTGCCTCTGTGAGGAAGCGTGTCAGGTGGGACACCCCTCATCCCCCCCCCCGCACCCGACTTCAAGGGACCCTCATCCCACCCCGACTTCACGGGCCTCACCAGTCAGGCTTCGAGGGATCTCCCCAGAGCTCACTAAGAGGCCTGAATAAAGATGAAGACCTCGTTGAGCCAGACACAGGGAGAGAGAAGAGGCCCCTCAGCAGGGTCTGCTTCCTCCAAGGGGAGCTCCACACTCCTCAACCTTCTGGGTCATCCTCCTGTGAGCTGATGTGGGAGGGAAAGCAGAGGCCACCCAGTGTGAATTGCTGCTGTCTGAAATGGAAGCCATTCTCCCACGCGTAGGCAGGCAGTGACATGAGAGGCAGAGCCCCACAGCTGCTCCCCACCCGCAGCCTGTTCCCAGGCACCACATGGCTCCTTTAAGCTTCGATGCCACCAAGAGAGTGGCCCAGCCTGGGAGACACTGCTCTGCTAACAACCGCTAATAACCACAGGAACTCTCCCGGTGGGATGCGGATGCTGGCCTGGTCCTCTTCAGCCCCAGGAAGAGGAGTTAGAGCTTGCCGATATGTGCGCTATTCGAGGTGGGTCTCTGGCTGAGGTCTTCAGCGGCTGCCATATGTCCACCAGTCTTATGCAGGAGGTGAGCTCCCCCAGTGAGAGCTCTTAGGACTGCAGACCGGCCAGGTTCCTGGAAGGCCTCACCATTCAGAGTTAGAGGCCCAAAGGTGCACTCATAACCGTTTTTGCCATCCAACACTTCTCGTATTCCCCATTAATGTGTCTGCATATTAATCCACTTGGTCCCCTTCATGCAGACCAAAGTTGGCCAATGTGGGGAGTGATTACAGATACTGCCTTCTCCCCTCTGTTGCTCCAGAAAGCCCGTCAATAATTTGATTCCAGTTAGCTGGAACCCTGGGTAACAGAACATTCTGCAACGCTAAACAATGTTTATAAAATGTTTATTAAAAAAATTTGGAAACCAACACCCAGCATCCTGAGGATATATTTTTTAACTGGTGCTGGGTAAAAAAGTGTTAGAAAAAAAAAAAAATGAAGTCCGTAGCGCAATATAACATATGAAAATAAAAGATCCATACACAAAACAATACTCCTAAAACTACAATGATATTTTTCACATTGACGTGGTCGCCTGTTTGGAGTAAAGAGATTAGCGCTAGGAATGGAGAAAGCAGGGAGAGGGGAGGAGAGGGGGTGGAGCGGGGAGGAGGGGAGTGGGGGAGGAGGGCGCAAGGGAGGGAAGAGGAAAAGGGAGGGGGAAGGGGGAGGGAGGAGGAAGGGGTGGGGGAGGGGAGGGGAAAAACTTGTAATGATGATAGCCAACTATGTCTCAAGGAGTATGAGTAACTCTATCCTCTAGAATGAAGTTACAAAACAAAAGGTAAGAGAAGAAGCAAGCCCTCGACTTGTGATTTCACTTTACAGATGGAGAAACCAAGGCTCAGAAGCATGAATTCTTTGGCTCTGAGGTTTCACGGCCATCAGGGGCAGAAACCAGGTATTTTGACTCCCCCTTCACTGCTCATTCTACTATGTCACACTGCTGCACAAGTATTTACAATACCTTGATTCTTGCCCTCCTAATGAGTAATTAATTCGGTTATAGTTTTAACAAGAGAGGTTGATCATCGCTGGTCCAACTCATACCTTCTCCTCCTGGAAGCTACCCCACGCTACACGAAGACAATAGCCCTGCTGGCCACCAGAAGACCTAGCCCTCCTCCTCTTGAGGTGGGCATCTGATGCAAGGGCAACCTTTCCACAGATAGGGGGAAGGCTGGCCAACCATCCTGGTTTGTGTTGGACTGGGGGGTTCCCAGAAGGCAGGACTTTCAGTGCTAATTCCAGAAAAGTCCTGAGCCAACTAGGACAAGTTGTTCACTCAGGCAGGAAGGGACTTGTGACCTGTGAGCTCGGGTTCCAAACCACAGAATAGGCAATCAGGTTCTCAGAAACTGGGAAACTAAAAGACTGGGCCTGTCACCTGAAATAGAAGGGCCATGATATAGAAAAAGAGCAAGGAGAATTGAAGAGCTGCCGTGTTGATCACATGGAAACAAAACTTACGAGCAGAAACTCTGAGCCAGTAGAGGACACTGACCGTATTTTAGGAAAACTGACTTTCAGTAGCTTCTTCCTTAAAAACCACCGTGGCCAATTGCAGATCCTTGCGGAGACTCTTTCCAGATGCTTCTGTTTGCTGCTGCTGCTTCTGCTTTCATTGCCAAGGAAAGGGCTACAGCAGACTCTTCCGTATTAAAGCAAGTTCCCTCCAAATCATGCTGCTTATCTTCCGAATTGAAACGAAATGAGCAAAATCCAGCACCCTTAGAAATTTCAAGTTGGGAAACCCCAGAGTGACTCTTCCTGACTCCCACCTCACATTTTTGGAGCTCAGGAAGCTCTTCATCAGCCAAAGCTGAGGTAGCAGACTGTTTTTCCCAAAGAGAGCCGTGACAACATTTCCCATCTCTCATCCTCTTCTTACATTATTTGACACCCTGTGGCTTATTTGACACCCTGTGGCTACTGTGAATGTTGGCTGCTGATGGCTCACAGCTGATCCCAGTCCAGAGACTTGCCCTTGGCCCATGGGAGCCTTCTCTCCCAGAGGAATATGCCGACCCCCAAGGGAACACCCAGCCCAAGCCAAGGTGACACAGGGGTACAAAAGGCCAGCCTCACTGCGTCACAGAGGACCAATCCAGTGGCATGATTCTTGCTTCACTACTTGGTGGGATCAGGCTGTCTCTCGTCTCCAGCTGAGGCCACATCCTTGCTGAGCGTCCCCCCCCACCTTGTACCCCTTTTTTCTTTCCTCGCTCCTTTCCCCGTGTAAGTACTTCCTTAACTAAGAATCCCCCACTCAAGGGTATTTCTGGAGATGCCAACCCAGGACACGCTTCCGGGGAAAGTAACAATTGTGCACTTTCGACTGAAATCTATGTGTGATTTTTTTGTGATTGGCTATTAGCTTCATTTAACAGCATTTATTGGCGACCCATGATACACATAAAGTGCGGAATAAGGCCTGGCTTTTACAGTCAAGGAATTTATATTGTAGTAGGGAGGACTTACAAGTAACCACAAACTCTACTCCAAGATAGAATTCAGTATGAATGACAACAAAGTTAAAAACCTAATTCTGGAATGTAGAGAAAGGGGTGCTTGATTTTGACCTGGAGAATCAGGAAAGAAATAGGCACGGGGAGGTGGCATTTCAACCGAGACTCCAAAGGCGGTAGCATCTTGGTAGCCAGAAGACACAAGGAAGGACATTCCAAAGGTGGGAACAGTGTGGAAAAGGCACACATTCCCGGGATGCATGCTGTGCTCTCAACACACCGGAGAAGCAGTCTGTCTGCTACAGTAAATTTGCTTATCTCTGTTCTGTCCAATATGTGTTGAGCCGATCTTTTTTTTTTTTTTTAGGTTTAACTCTCAGAGGGCAATATTATTTCTCTTATTTGTGTGTTTCTGGAAGGAAGCCCTATTACAGCCCCAAATATTGATAACCGAACCATGAGGTGTTACTTGCGGCAGCCACCAGAGGGACCTCCTAATGGTAAAAATGGCTCTACAGGGATGACCAGAGCCTTCTGCTGGCCTCATTACCCTTAAGTCAGCATCATCCATAGACAGGAGAAGCCCAGTCTGACGTCTACTCTAAAGCGCCTCCCTCCAGGTAATCACTACCTCTGAGCCCCAAACCAAATCTACTTGGACATCTGCCTTTGAGCCTGTCGGCCATACCCCACGGGAGCAAGACCCTGCTACAGCCTGCATCCAGATACCATTTTGTCCCAGAGCCTTTCTTATTCATTTTCACATATGCATGCGTACTAAGTTGGGGCTTTGCACAAAGGAAGTCAAGTTGTAAAATAAAATTTTATCTTCCTGCTCTGCCAGTCTCTTCCCAACGAGAATGGATCCCAGTCAAGTTAGAAGCTTTTCAAGCAGGTATTCAGGACCAAAATACATGAGTTGGCTCCAATGGCTACAGGCCTGTGACTTTTTCACAGCCCTGCAAGGAGACCACAGCAAGAAACTGAAAAGACCCTAAAGGAGGGTATTATCTAGGAAAGTCGGCGATTCACCGAGAGGCACACTCCCAGTCTGCTTTGCCACAGAAGGGTCGGTGTGCGTGGACGGCCTAACTGTCCATCTCTCCGGGAGATTTCATGTGATCTTCCTTGGTATCTTTCTCCGCTTTGCTACTTTTTCTATGCCTTTCAGTCACTTCGCTGCTTAACTTTACTCGTCATCTCAGACTCCTCATATGCTTTTCTTTATTCCCTCCTCTTCCTTCAGACTTTCTTCCTGAATTAACTGACTAGAAGGAGGCCAAGATCCACATCTACGCGAAAATGAGGTTTAGGTTTTTTGCTTTTTTTATTGACGTATAACTGATCCACCACATTATATTCGTTTCAGGCATGCCACATAATGATATGACATTTGTGTACATTGCAAAACGGTCACCGCAATAAGTGTACTTAATATCCATCACCATACATCGTTACAAATGTTTTTCTTGTGATGGATTTACTCCTAGCAACTTTCAAATATGCAGTACGATGTTACCAAAGAAGTCACTCAACTCCAAAGCTGGGAAAGTACCATGTGTGGTGGGCAACTGGCTGAGTGATGCTGGTATCTTACTATTTCAAAACACCCCATATCTTTGTCGCAGCTCCCCCACCCCCCACCGTTGCCTTCCCTCTATCTCAGAGAAGTCTCTTCTTGCTAAGCCCCTTTCCACCTGGGTTATAATCTTATCTCTTCCCTTAACTAGCCTGTCTCCCCCTACCTAGCCTCTCCCCACCGATCTCCAGACACTAAAAACCCTCTCCTTTCTTCCCTACCTCATGCTGTCTTCCACAGCCATCCAACTATTGCCCCAAACTTCGCGAAAAATCGTTGGCACAGTGTGCCTCCATATCCTCCCTCCTGCATAATCCCTACACTCCACCCCCTCCCCCCCCATTCCAGGGGAAATTTCTCTGGCCCCGACAGTCTGATCCAGGGAACTTTCTACAGCCCTTAACTTCTGGGGGGGGGGGGGGGAGAGGGGGCGGGGGCGGTTCTGTAACATCTCACACCATCTATGGCACCTCAGCACCTGAGAAGGCACAGACTCCTCCCCTTGAGACTCTGCTCTCCCCTCTTCGCTGGCTCCTCCCCCTACTTGTGAAAGGCACACTTTGCTGAGAAAGAGCTTCCAGATTTCTTTCCCTTCCCTCACCATCTCCAGGACCTCACTTGCCAAAGCCCTGGGCAGTGTGTCAGGGTAGGTCCGAGGGAGGCATTTTTATGCCGAAATGTAGCCTTTTGTAAGACGTGAGTAGCCTTATATAAGGTGCCGGTGTAAACCAGGTTTTCGCTGTTTAACAAACAGGGTCACCTGGGCCTTGTTCCCCTCGCCCGTGCGTTTGCATTTGCTGTAAGACTTGCTGGGAGAGCCCCGTGCAGGCTCAGAGAAGGTTCAACAATGCAGGGTGGGTAACTAGTTAACCATTCATTCACCTCCCTCCTGCCAAGGCCAGCAGAGAGGTGGCCCCAGCCCTGGTGCTCCTGACACACGTTTTGAGACTCTCCCTGCACCAGCGAGCAGCCAAAGAAGCCAGAAGGCAAACAGGTATTCGTAATGCTCTTTGTTGCTGGGATTCTGTTCAAAAACAAGCAGTTAGAAGAATTCAGAGAAAATCACGACTCTCTCGCCCTGTCCTCATAAGTATCTATCTGGGTCTAAGAAAAACTTGTAGACTTAAGAGGAAACCATAACACCTCAACATTAGCTTCCCCCGCCCCCCCAACCCCCAGTGGTTGTTGTTATTGTTGTTACGATTATTGTTATGTAATGCTGAAAAGTCAGAAACGTCGAAACTGCGGTGAAAATCTATATACCACCGCCCCCCCACCTTCTTCAGCAATTATATCTGCCAGGTCTGTTTCATCTCGCTGTTTTTGTGTGCATTTTTTAAAACAATTCTGTACGTCGCTCAGCACTCACCACGGTAAGTGTAGTCACCAGCTGTCACCATACAGCCTTATTACAATATTGTTGACTCCCATATTCCCTATGCGGCACTTTTCATCTCTGTGCCTGATTTATTTTATACTGGAAGTTATAATCTCCTTCACCTGTTTCACCCACCCTCTCACCCCCTCCTCCCCTCTGGCAACCATCAGTTTGGTCTCTGTATTTATTAGTCTGTTCCTATGTTTTGTTTGGTTTTGTTTTGTTTTTTAGAGTCCACATAGAAGTAGAATCATATGATATTTGTCTTTGTCTGACTGCTTTCACTTAGGATTATAGCCTCAAGTTCCATCCCTGTTGCAAATGGCAAGATTTCATTCTTTTTAATGGCTGAATAATATTCCATTGTGTGTGTATGCCACATGTTTATCCACTGGGCTGCTTCCCAGTGGATATCAATGGACACTGGGCTGCTTCCATATCTTGGCTATTGTAATTAATGCTACAGTAAGCATCTGGGTGTATATATCTTTTCAAATTAGTGTTTCTGTTTTCTTTGGGCACATAGCCACTGGTGGAATTACTGGATCCTATGGTATTTCTATGTTGAATTTTTTGAGGAACCTCCATACAGTTTTTCAGAGTGGCTGTTTCAATTTACATTCCCACCAGCAGTGCTCGGGTTTCCTTTTTCTCTACATCTTCACCAGCGCTTGTTACTTCTTGACTTTGTTATACTAGCTATTCTGACAGGTGGAAGGCGGTATCTCATTGTGGGTTTGGTTTGTATTTCCCTGATGATGAGTGATGTTGAGCATCTTTTCATATGTATGTTGGCCATTTGGATATCTTCTTTGAAAAGATGCCTGTTCAGATCCTCTGCTCATTTGTTCATTGGATTGTTTGGGGGGTTTTTGGTATTGAGTTGTGTAAGTTCTGTATATATTTTAGATGTTAACACCTTATCAGATATGTCATCTGCAAATATCTTCTCCCCTTTAGTAGATTGCCTTTTCTTTTTGGTGATGGCTCCCTTCATCGTACAGAAGTTTTTTATTTTGATGTAGTCCCAATACCTTGCTTTTGTTTCCCTTGCCTGAGGAGATGGTGTTGCTCAGCAGATACCTGAGAAATTACTGCCTGTTTCCTTTTAGGGGTTTTATGGTTTCAGGTCTTACATTTGGGTCTTTAATCCATTTTGAGTTTATTTTTGTGTATTATGTAAGAAAGGGGTACGTGTTTTTGTTCTTACTGAACCATTGGCAAGTAAGTGGTAGACGTCATGATATTTCGATCCTAAATACTTCAGCTAAGAATATACCTAAGAATAAGGACATGCTTCTCTCCAACCGCAAAAACATGATCATACCTAAGAAGATTAACAATCATTCTGTAATATTATCTAAGAGCCATGCCCTATTCAAAATTTCCCAATCATCCTACGAATCTTTTATAGCTTTGTTTTCACTAAATTAGAATTCAGCTGAGATTGACACATTACAGTTTGTCATTATTTCTTTTTAGTCTACTTTTTAAAAGTTTTTACTGATGTAAAATTAACGTAATTTTAACATATCCATTTTCAGTGTGCAGTTTGAGTTTTGGAATATATATATATATATATATTTGGAATATATATATTTGAAATATATATTTGAAATATATATATACATATAAATATATATTTGAAATATATATATATACATATATATATATATTTGAAATATATATTTCAATGAGCCACCTGGGTGGCTCAGTCATTTAAGCATCCAACTCTTGGTTTCGGCTCAGGTCATGATCTCACAGCTCATGAGATCCAGCCATGCATTGGGCTCTGCGCTGTTAGCACAGAGCCCACTTGAAAGTCTTTCTCTCCCTCCCTCTCTGCCCCTCCCCTGCTCATGCTCTCTCCCTGTCTCTCAAAAATAAATAAAGATTAAAAAAATTTTTTAATAAAAAAAAAGAAAATGTTCCCTCATGCCATCTTT